CATTTTCATAAGGCCACAGGCTTACATATTTACTAATATTAAAGCGTCAGACATGTAAGGCCTCAGACTGACGTGAATGTTTCTGCTTTTCCTCTTTACTTCTTGTGTGCAAACCATGAATTGTGTTCCAGAAACATATTCAGCCACACGAGATGAAGATAAAAATAAGCACGGCAAAAGCCATCCTGGGTCAGACAGAAATGGGTCAAGCACTGATATTATGGAGGGAATCATGATGTGGCTTTTTTTTACCTTTTTTTGGGGGGGGGGGGATAACATCAAGTTAATGCGTTCAAAAGTACCAAATAGTCTCTACATATCACTTTAAGGCAGCTGGATGACTGGTGTTGTTTCATGTGAATATTTTTTTTTGGGGGTGTGGGGTCACTAAGTCCGTGAGAATAACGAGACGACCTATTGACACCTGATGCAGCTTCCTCGCATCCTATCCGCCATTTCCACCGCTTTTGGTTCCTCCCTCTCTCCTCCAGTCTTTGGTTGCCATGGCGATGACGTCAAGTTGCACCACCGTTTCAGCCCAGTAGACGGTCTTAGAGGCGGTGCAACAAAATCCCGGACGATCGACTGCAGGAGCCATCATCCTGTGAATCTCCTCTGCTCAGATTCCCGTCTCCTACTCGACCGTCCTCTTACCCACCTGTCCAAAATGCGCGAAATTGTGCACTTGCAGGCCGGCCAGTGCGGAAACCAGATTGGAGCCAAGGTATTTCTTTCTGATTTCTTTTGCTCTATTTCGGTTTTTTTCAATCCGGTGAGCCGTGTGCCGGCTGTCATGCAGGCACTCAGAGGAGCTCCCCTAATCCATCTTCCAGAAATTCTCTAGAACAAACTCTGTGCGGCGTATTTTCTTCTTAAAGCTCATTACATTCCAGAGAGAGGGAGAATCAATCCACAGACGATTTGCTCATTGGCATTCCGTGCAGGGTTTCACACCGAGGACAAGACTGATTCATGCACTGGTATATGCAGGAGAAATTAAGAAATTAAGATTTATGCGACTTTATGCTTTAATAATTCCATGCATAACTCGCATTTAATATCGCCACATTTTTGTCGAATTTCCCATGCGAGTATATCAGCGATTGACTAGAATAGTAATGAAACCTTATTGTAGATGTAGGAGCAGCCGCCCCTCCCCCTCCATATTTATGACCTATTTTTGCCTGATTCTTTTCCAGCCACTTGCTTCTGAAAAAAAATGTCTAAATTTAAACTGAATCAAACTGCAGTATTATCATTTTAACACTGGCATGGATTATATCTTTAGTATAATTAATCTTGTTGGCTATATGGCACCAAAGACGTTTTTACTTTTCAGATTATTGCCATCTGCCAGATCAGACTAATAGACTGCTCTTTTGACTCTACATGCACCAGAAATACACACTAAGCTTTCTAGAAATGTAATTAAAAGTATATCAGCAAATACGTAACTGGAATGAACTTGCATCCCACCTTCCTCTCCTACCACGCTTGTTTTGTTTCAGTTCTGGGAGGTGATTAGCGATGAGCACGGCATTGATCCCACCGGTACCTACCATGGAGACAGCGACCTGCAGCTAGACAGGATCAGCGTCTACTACAATGAGGCCACAGGTTGGTTGCAGATTCACCTCTGCTGCCGTACAGACTGATTCGCATACATATCTCTGTTTTACATCACATCCAGCGTGCCTCTTAAAATTACAAGGAATTATATTGTTCATTCACTTTTGACTGGTTTAGGTGGAAAATACGTTCCACGAGCCATCCTGGTGGATCTGGAGCCTGGAACGATGGATTCGGTGAGGTCTGGTCCCTTTGGACAGATCTTCAGACCAGACAACTTTGTCTTTGGTAAGCTGGGTGAATTTTGTTAATCGAGCATACTATGCTATGTCTTTCCTGTGCATCTTACATTATAAATTGGAATATTTTTGACTACAGGCCAGAGTGGAGCTGGAAATAACTGGGCCAAGGGCCACTACACTGAGGGAGCAGAGCTGGTGGACTCTGTTCTGGATGTAGTGAGGAAAGAGGCTGAGAGCTGCGATTGCCTCCAGGGCTTCCAGCTCACTCACTCTCTGGGCGGAGGCACTGGCTCCGGCATGGGCACCCTGCTGATTAGCAAGATTCGCGAGGAGTACCCCGATCGCATCATGAACACCTTTAGCGTGGTGCCTTCCCCCAAAGTGTCTGACACCGTGGTGGAGCCTTACAACGCCACCCTCTCTGTCCACCAGCTGGTAGAGAACACAGATGAAACCTACTGTATTGACAATGAAGCCCTCTATGACATCTGCTTCCGCACGCTCAAACTCACCACTCCAACCTACGGAGATCTCAACCATTTGGTGTCTGCCACCATGAGCGGGGTGACCACCTGTCTGCGTTTCCCTGGCCAGCTCAACGCCGATCTCCGCAAACTAGCCGTCAACATGGTGCCCTTCCCCCGTCTGCACTTCTTCATGCCAGGGTTCGCCCCGCTCACCAGCAGGGGCAGCCAGCAGTATCGCTCACTGTCTGTGCCTGAGCTCACTCAGCAGATGTTCGATGCCAAGAACATGATGGCTGCCTGCGACCCACGCCACGGCCGCTACCTGACCGTGGCCGCAGTCTTTAGAGGTCGCATGTCCATGAAGGAGGTGGATGAGCAGATGCTGAATGTGCAGAACAAGAACAGCAGCTACTTTGTCGAATGGATCCCGAACAATGTGAAGACCGCCGTCTGTGACATCCCACCCCGTGGCCTCAAAATGGCCGCCACTTTCATTGGCAACAGCACCGCCATCCAGGAGCTGTTCAAGCGCATCTCCGAGCAGTTCACCGCCATGTTCCGTCGTAAGGCCTTCCTCCACTGGTACACAGGCGAAGGTATGGATGAGATGGAGTTCACCGAAGCCGAGAGCAACATGAACGACTTGGTGTCCGAGTATCAGCAGTACCAGGATGCCACCGCTGAGGAAGGAGAGTTCGAGGAAGAGGGAGAGGAGGAAGTTGCATAAAACCTCCGTGCAACTGGCTCCCTGAGCTCCTTTCACCTCGCCCATTACCCCCCCTTTTCACTCCCCCCCCCATCATGAATTGAATGGTTCGCCACACTTGAACAGATCACTGTTGCTCTAGTGTTAGACATTGGTGTTAACTGGTGCTAGTGAAGTTTTTGGTTCAAATGTTTTTGTATGTCGTGAATGCACTGAACTACTGACATCCTCACATCTGTCCTGTCATTGCCTTGCCGAAGTCAAAAGCAAGTGATTTTAACTGTGAAGCCTTGAAACTGGCGAAAGAATAAAATCTAATTTAAATGCCAAATTAATGCCTCTTTGGGGGTTTTTGTTTGTTTTCTTTTACTGATTAATTTGACATGCGATCCAAGATTTCTCTTCACCTTACAGCATTAAAACTCCTAGTTAGCAAGTCTATTCTACAACATATAGCTACAAGGACTTGTGCTACACAATGTTTACTAATACACTGCCGGATGTATACTTCTTTAAGAGAATTATCCTAAATATACATAATGGTTTGGTGAATCTCTCAAGCTTCTCCAGATTTAATGTTCTTCACTTCATAGATTTTCAATGAGATTCAAGTGTAGGACAGTCAGTAACATTCACTTTGGTGATCAGGAGTGTTGGAAGATATATCTTGCATCCAGACTCTGTTTATTTCTGACTGCTTGAGGTTTTCTTTCATAATCTTCCCATATCATTTTTTCTTCATGAGTCCTTCCACCTTGACAAGATTCTCAGTCCTAGACACATCGAAGCATCCACACAGCATAATACTCCCACCACCGTGTTTCATTGTTGGGATGCTGTTTCTTTGGTCTCTAAATTCTACCTTTCTTTCTCCAAATGTAAGCAGTGGCTCTGTGGCCAAAAGGGTTTAATCTCATCTGACCAAAGGATGTGCTTCCAGTATGCATAATCTTTCTCCAGGTTGTCCTTACTGTAGCATACTTCAGTCTGGCTTGAAGGTGTCTCTTTTACACAAATGGAGTTTTTCTTGGTCTACAACATCTGAGTCCATTCCTGTGCAAGGTTCTAATGATCATCTTCTTTCAGACTGCAATTTCTGACTCAACTAAGTCATTCAGTTGTTCTGGGGTCTTTCGACACGTGTCTCACTAGCTTTTTTTCCAGTCTTTGAAATCTAACCAACTTGATCTGCCTGTATGTGAGGAACCTTCTTTCCTCGCAGTGATAATGCTGACGTCACATGACTGCGTGTTTCCGTGAGTCATTTACATGCAGAAGCCACTGAAAACCAGGATACACATTTGTGTGGGGAATAAGACATAAAGACCTGCTCATTTAAAAAAAATTATGAAAAAAGTGACCCTGTGAATTTTCCTTGCATCATACAGTTAACAACTTTTTTACTACAGGCTAACGAGTCGAGCATTTCAGTGCTTTTCTCATGTACACCGAGAGCCTGAACTTTACACTCTGTGGTTACTGAAAATGCTTATCTGCATAGCTATTTTATCATCAGTCTCTGTACACTAATACATACAATTGGACTTGTGGACTTGTTTGCATTTTTTCCATCGCTGCTCAGCCTTTTCAGGCATGTGCTATTTCCTTATTGTTATTTTTAGCCTTTTGCGTAACAGGACAGTGGACAGAAGAAGGAAAGACCTACAACATATAGATCGCCTGCTCTACCTACCCAGCTAAACCAGCACCCTATATCCTATTTTTACTTGGATTTTATACATAAACACCGCTGCTGATCCACCTGGGGAGGACTCGTGAGACTTTAAATGCTTTGTAAAGTTTAATTACACAAATATTAAACAAATATTCAGTTATTTGACAAATGCATAAATAAACACGTGGTGACATTGTAAAACATCTCTACTTGATTACAGTCAATTATGTGCTATACATATGATCTGGTGAATTATTGATGGCCTGTCTTTAAATTAGTGTTGTTATTCAAAGAGATGTCAAGTGTAAACAGTTGCTTCTGATTTCTAGTTATAACCTGACTTCTTTTTTTAGCTCAGAGCAGCTTTGTAAAAAACTAGTTTTCACGAGGATAAGATCTTTTGATTAAACTCATAAATAGAAACTCTTTCCTTTTCAAATGCGATTGACTAAAAACGCAAAACGTTTGAGGTTAAAGGTCAGCAGATTTTGCATTGAAATTTTAGACAGAATCAAATCCAGCAAGTAATTAGGACTTAAGGCAGCTGGCAAAAAGAAGTGTCGCTAAACTAAAATCATTAGTGGCGATAAAATACTGTAGCTTTTTGTTTTTTTAACTTGTGCAGAATAAACATTTAGACCTCTTTGAAATGTTCAGTTGTTCTTAAAAGTCAGAGAAAAATCCCTTTGGGCGCTTCTCTTCGGCTTACCAAGCAAGAACAATTCAGTGCTTGTTGAAATGGAGCGGCAAGAAAATGCATCATGTTGTACGGTTTCAAAGATCTCTCTTTGTCCTCTCTTAAACCTGGAGACAGTTTTCTCTCAGTGGTCAAGCCCCAATCTGAGAGCCTCGTCACACAGGAAGGCTGCCGTGCAAGTGTTTGCAGCCTGTGTCCTTACAAGGTGTTCCACAAAACCTCAAATGAGTCTTTCCTCCTTTGGTAATTTTAGTGCATCCGGTGCGGCAATGCTGCGTGCACCAGACTGCTCCTCAGCGCTGGGTCTGTACGTCCCTTCGGTCTGCCTCTTCTTTTTGACCACGCAGAACAACCAGACGAGAAAAGCCGAGACTATAGCCAGCACTCCCAAGGTGACTGTAGGGGCCACAATGGCTGCGATGTTGGGTCCCTGCAAACAGGATAATATACCACTTAAAGTTTAATTACATACCAAAGTTATTTACTGTTCTTGAAAATATTTGTCACTTACTGTAGTGTTATTAGATTGGGTGTCACTTGCACTTAAGGTCATATTCCCTGTGAAAGGAGCCGAAACATAATGAATGTTATATCAGTGGAACAGTATTTGTTCCCTTTCCAAAAAATGTTTTAACATATTTATTATGCTTCAAATCCTCAAACAATTTTCAATATTAGACACAAATAACCCAAGTAAATACAAAATGCAGTTTTTAAATTGTGATTTTATTGATTATAAAAGTTATCCAAACCTATCTAGCCCTGTGTACAGTAATGGCCCCCAAAACCTAATAACTGGCTGTGCCAGCCTTGGCAGCAATAACTGCAATCAAGTGTTTGCAGTAACTGGCACTGAGTCTTTCACATTGCCGTGGAGGAATTTTGGCTCACTCTTCTTTGCATTTTTTTTTTTTGATTCAGCCACATTGTAGGGTTTCTCAGCAGGAACATCACTGTTCAAGGTCACGCTGAAGCATCTTAATCAGATTTAAGGCTGGACTTTGGCTAGGCTGCTCCAAAACCTTTATTTTGTTTTTGTTTTCTGGTTTTATTGAGTCATACAGATGTGAACCTGCTGCTGTGTTTTGGATCATTGTCCTGCTACATAATCCAAGATGAGCTTCAAACAAACTGACGGTCGGATAGACTCCTTTGAGGTTTTTCCAGTAAAGAGTAAAATCAATGGATCCATCAATTAGATGCTGTTGAGGTCCTGAAGCAGCAAAGCAGGCCCAGACCATCACACTACCCTCACCATGTTTGACCGTTGGTGATTTTTCCCCTCAGCCCACAGAATATTTTTTCCAAAAGTCTTGGGGATCAACAAAATGTTTTATTGACAAATGTGAGACTTTGTGTTCTTTTCGGTCAGCAGTGGATTATCATCTTGGAACTCTCCCATGGATCCCATTTTTGTCTTTCTTATTGTTGAATCATGAACTCTGACCTTAACAGAGGCAAGAGAGGCCTGCAGTTCTTTAGATGTTGTTCTGGGTTAATCTGCGAGCTCGCGGGTCAATTGTCAATGTGGTCTTAGAGTAATTTTTGTAGGCCAACCACTCCTCTTCCAAGTTTTCACCATTTTTGAGTAATGGCTCTAAACTCAGTCCCCCCCACCCACAAGAAAAAAAGTGCTTAATCACAGTTAATTCATGAGTTAAAAATATTTCTTAACATAGAGCCATGTAGGTTTGTACAGCTTTTTTCTCTTAATAAATGAAATCATCATTTAAAAACTCCATTTTGTATGTAAACTGATGTATATAATTAAAATGTGTTTAAATATTATTGGGCTCTCTGTATTTAGATAAGATCTTTTATTTTAATTGGCAAATGCATTTAAACTTTCAGAGTAACCACTTACAAGCACGTGTGAATGTGCACTCATAACATTTAAAGTAATGAGTCTGTTTCCTGGCAACTGGGGGAGACTTTTGAAAGTTCCAGTCTTTGCAAAGAAGTATAATACCGTACTTTTTTTTTTTTTTTAAAGCTACTCATGTAACTCTCAGTGAGAATGAAGAATAATTTTCACATGTAACCAAAGTGTTTGACACATTCATATGCAGATGAATGCAGGAATGTGAAAGGATCTTGAAAAGCTGGCTTCTTAGTAAAGTGCAAAACTGTTTTTGAACCACGACAGAGACATGAGTGTCAAAAATAATGTCTAAAAGAGGAAAAGTGTATCGCTTCTACATGTTATCATGATTGTATCTACCCTTATACATACATGCGTAATGAAAAGCACATAAGAGGAAGTACCACAGTAAAGCAGAAGTTCATTTCAACCTCGTCCACTTTCTAAGCACCTGACACTTGTAAGCATTCCAGTATCGCTACCAGCCATTTCATCTGTGAGCAGCCATGTGATTACTCAGTTACATCATAAAGCCCCACTGGAGCTTCTTGACCAGAGCGAATAGGGAGGAGGAGAAGCTCAGGAATGCACGGTATACCGCAGTCACAATTAGCTGAGTCAAACAGCACACTACTTTGAAATGTGAGAAAAAAACCCAACTCCAATCTATTTGTTTCTTTGTGTTTCTTTGTGTGTGTGTGTTCATCATTCAAAAAATCGTGTTAATGAGAAAGTTTTGTTTTGGAAACTTAAGCCCTCCCCACAGTTTCTGAGTCAATCATTTGCTTGGGTAAATAGTAAACTTGCCAAGGACAAAGGTACGACTTGATAACAAACGTTACAGACGGGGGCAGCCATGTTCACAACTTAAAGTAGGATTCAAACTGACAAATGCAACAGTTTCTCACAGCAGTGGGACAGGGGTCTGTGTCTTACTGTGTAGCATCACCTTCATTTACCAGTTAAAATATCTGGGAACTGAGGAGAACAATTGCTGCAGTTTTGAAATCACATTTCCTCTCATTCTTGTTTGATAGGAGATTTCAGTTGCTCAACAGTCCCCCACCCCAATGTAACTATACCCATCAGATATACTGTGTTTTGTACTGCACTTATAGTACAAAACACCTCTCCTTTTTAGCTGTAATGACTCTGCGAGATGTTCAGTATCGTGTGAAAATCTAGTTCAAATGATTTTTAAATCATGACATTAGTTTACACGGCACCGCAACATCTTTAAAATTGCTTTTTTGTATATTACTCCCACTCAATGGGGAGCTTGTTCCTATAAATTCTTATCTTAGTCTTATGTTATTAGGCAGTGCTGACATGTTTCACAGTTTCTTAGCAAAGCTTCCTAAGTTTTTTTATGTGTCATCACAGGATGCAATAGGTTTTTTATGTGTGCGTGTGCACAGGTGTGGTCAAAAGGCTGGCTTATTTGTATGGGAGTGCTGAGGAAGGCTTCCAACTCACCCCACACAGGATTACTGCTCAGCACCAGCAGTAAAACACTCCCAACCACAGCTCCAGGTATGGTCAGCACATCCAGGCACGCTGCCATCTCTACCCGTGACCAGCAGGGCCAAATGGGGGCAGACTGGTACAGTCGGGGCATCAGCTTGGGTCCATTTCATTCACAGACAGCCGCCGTGAGGATTTACTGCCTCCATTTGAACAGCTAAAGACACACAACTATCAGCAGTGCAAACGCAAATATCCTCTCCAGTTCACTCAGACACTGATAGACTGTTTTAATCGCAAGCTGAGTCAGGCAGAGAAAACCACAACTACTGAGTCACATTCAGCCTGATGTTGAATCACCTCTAAACCTGCGCAATAATATTTTTACTGGCCTAACAAAAGAACACAGCTCTAACACCTCCTAAAAAAACATCATTACACTATCAAATGACAATATGCTGTAACGTGATTCTTTTCAAAGACTTACACACACCCTTCATCCGACTGCTTCCAGATGGTCGAGGCAAAACGAGGAACATCGAACAGGTTGATTCTTTACGCGTCAACTGCTTCCGCCTCACCTTGTCAAAAATGAAACCGCAACACATATGAGTCGGGTGAAAAGTACAGGTAACATCCTCAGCCGACTTCTATCAGAACAAGCCTACCTGAAGTACCCGAGACTACATCCTCGGCTGTCCTATGAGTTGGTCTTTCATCTAAAGCTCTTTTTTTCCCCTCGTCTACTCCTCACTTCGCCATTGGTCACGTGGTTGAGTTTCGTGTTACAATACCTGAGCACAGTTATCTACCTGCAGCGGGGCGAACAGAACCTCCTTTGTGCGTACAAAGTAGAATAAAATGCGCACTTTGCTAAAGCAGAGCAGCGCCGATCTATCCTGTTTCCATCAGGAAAAAAAAAAAATCAGACCTTAAAGCTTTTAATCACCTTTATGCAATAATATTTATATTCAGAAATTCCTTCCAAAGTTCATTCAGTTTCTAAAAAATTAACGATAATGATAATAATAACAAGATGCCAGGTTTGCCTTATTTGCTCCAATCTGCACAACTTTAGCCGTAGTTTTTACTCCCTGTGAAGCTCTTACCTGCTGATGGCGTTGCATGAAACAGCGCCTCCGTCAGGTTTTACGGTTCCCGTCAGGAGAAAGGATATCGACATTCCTGAGATATTTTAAGGATGAATTTGGAGGCCAGCTGGTCCAGTGGGCTCTAATCCTCTCCTAATCTCTCCTTTCAGACTAAGAGGGGCACAGAAAATGTAGTCTGCTTCGGGCCTAATCTGTGCTAGTCAGAGTTTCGTGTGGACACTCTGTAAGAGCACTGAAGCGTTTTCTGAAAAGCACAGACCTGCTGTGGAAAATTACTCTTATAGTACAGCAGTGACTCACATTGAGGAGGTGCCCCTTGCTATTTTGTATGTAGCCTAATATCTGCAACAGTGTTTCAGTAATATAACGTTCAGTAACCACAGTTTGACATGTGATTCAGAGTGTTTTATCTATTAAAGAAAGGACAGATAAGGCATGAGAAAGTTAACTACTGGCATAACCCTGTCTTTTCATGCACATACACTCACTGGGCACTTTATTAGGTACACTTTGCTAGTACAGGATTGGGCCTTCTTAATTCTTTGTGGCACTGAGTCACAAACCCACCTCATCCCAGTGGTCTATTGAGATATTGAGATCTGTTGAATCTGTAGACGGCATTCCTGTACAGTGAACTCATTATCATGTTCCAGCAACCAGTTTGAGATGATCTGCACTTGGGAACATGGCATGTTTTCCTGCTGGCATGTTACGTCCCCACGAAGGAATTCTTCGAGTTGTGAGTGTGGTGGCCGGTAACAAATGGGTCCAGAACAGAATGAAAAGGAAAGCAGACAGAGGTGTTTAGCATATAATATGGTTTTATTGCAAATAATCTTAACACAAAGAGTCAGCAACGTCGCTGTATCAATAAGGCCAAAAAGAAAAGAAGAGATCAAAAACAACAAAGGAAACAACTAAAAAAAAAAAAAAACTCCACAACACAAAGAGGCACTTCCCACTTCTCACTCAACTGAACTCCTCACCACGGTGAGACATTTCCAAGGCCTATATGCCCATCTACTCACTCAACTTAAAACCACGGGTAGGACAAACACGCATTGGGACTTTTCCAACATCTAAAAAGACAATGTAGAGCCATAGGGAAAAACCACTTGCATCACACAGTTCTTCCCCAGCCTATATAATCTATATAATAAAGAGGTGATTGCTGACTGGGTCCAGGTGCCTAACGGGGTAATGAACAGCAGGTGCGTCGTGGCAAGAGGGCGGAGTGAAAAAGAGACAGAAGGGTGGGAGGAACAAAAGAGGAGGAGGCGGAGAGAGAAGACCACACCCACACAAGGGAAATTTCAAGAAGAGGCCCTGCTAGGGCCGTAACAAGGGTCATAAAGGGATGGACATGGTCAGTAATAAAACTGAGGTAGGCTGTGGTAGTTAAACGATGCTGCAGTTGGCACAAAGGGGCCTAAACTGTGCCAAGAAAATATCAGAATCAGAAAGGGTTTTATTGCCAAATGTTGAGCAGGTTTACAACATTAGGAAATTGCTGCGGTGCTTCAGTGCAAACATACTGTCATAAATTGCGCTTAAATAGACATGAAAAAATAAAAGTAAGAAGAAGAATTAAAAGTGCTACGTAGAAAGATATATGCATGAGTGCAGGTGGTGATCAGTGCCAAACATGGAATGATGCAGTGAACACAGCGTAGGGTCATGTGTTAGGGGTGGGAACAGTCGTACGTTTATTGTTCATGTGTCCAACAGCAGAGGGGAAGAAATTGTTCTTATGGCGAGAGGTTCTGGTGCGAATGGACCGGAGCTTCCTGCCAGAGGGGAGCAGGTCAAACAGACTGTATCCAGGGTGAGAAGGGTCAGCTGAGATCCGAGCTGCACGCCGCAGTGTCCTGGAGGTGTACAGGTCCTGCAAAGATGGGAGTCTGCAGCCAATCACCTTCTCAGCAGAGCGCACAACATGCTGCAATCTCTGTTTGTCCCTGATAGTGGCTCCAGCGTACCACACGGTGATGGAGGAGGTGAGGATGGACTCGATGATTGCAGTGTAGAATTGCATCATCGTCCGTGTTGGCAGGTTGAATTTCTTCAGCTGCCTCAGGAAGTACATCCTCTGCTGGGCTTTCTTGATGACGGAGGTGATGGTGGGCTCCCACTTCAGGTCCTGGGTGATGGTGGTACCCAGGAAGTGGAATGAGTCCACAGAGGTGATGGGGGTGTCAGTCAGGATGATGGGGGGGAATGGAGCTGTGTGCTTCCTGAAGTCCACAATAATCTCCACTGTCTTCTGGGCATTCAGCACCAGGTTGTTGTGGCTGCACCAGGACACCAGACGTTCAACAACCCCACAACCATGACATCCTGAACTGCTAATATGGTTCTTTCATGTTTTTCACATCACATTGTGACCCATCTGAATGTCTCACCAGACATCAAGACTCATCGAATCCAATTTAGGTGAGCCTGAGTGAATCACAGTCTCAGCAAGTAACAGGTGGCTATTTGAGTGACTGTTCCCATCAGCTAGAAACAGACTGGCTGTTCTCCTCTGACCTCTGGTAACAACTAGGCATTTTATCCCTGAGACTCAGCTTGAGATTAAAGAAGTCTCTCATCATTCAATACTTTCTGTTTTGGAGACCATTCTCTGTAAACTCTAGAGGTGGTTGGGCAGAAAAATCCCAGCATATCAACAGTTTTTGAAACTCTCAGAAGCTGGCAGCAAGGCTTGCCATGTTCAAAGTCAAATGCACTGAGCTAACTGACTGATTAGATTATTTGCGTTAACAATTTGGTTGGACATTAGGCTGATTGCAGACCAGATATGGCGGTAGAAGAAACATTAAGAACAAATAGCTCTTCTGGTGTCTTGTTTTCTACTTATTTAGTAGTGACCACTAAAGGGTGCAACAAGCACCTTTTTGTGTGTGTGTGTTTGTTGTCAAATAAATGAGCATTACGTGTAAAACAGTATCTTTTTTATTGGAGTCACTGTTATATATTTCACTGTTAGTTTTATCAGGAAGTTTATTTTACTAAAGAAAGCTTCTGTAAGCAAGTTCATTAGCCTAATAGTTTATGTAAGCTGATATAAATACCTACAGTGACAGCCCAGTAATTAATAACATACATAATAAAACTGCAAGAGAGAAGCAATTCAATGATGATTTTAAAAGGTACACTGTTTTTAGAGAAACGTATTTGATTTAACATCTGTCTAAATGTTGCACTTGGCCATGTTTTCTGGGCTGGAATCAGTGTTGGTGAAACTGCTGCGAAGACATGAAACTGCCATGTACTGGAAGTTAATACGCTATAGCAGAATGTAAAAATGTCAAGGAGATTTATATATTTATCTGACTTGTTATCAGCGCTCAGTTCAAAAACCTGCATGTCTGATAGTGTGGAGGTTCATTCATGCCACTGGAATTGGAAGCTTACACATGCAGAAAGGTATACAGAGGTTTTAGAGCAACATATACTCCCATGCAGGCAATGTCTTTATTATTTCAATCTATATTAATGTGTACCCTTATGTCTATATATATCGCTACCATATTTCAAGAAGATAAATCTTGAAATATTAAAATAAAACCCTAGTTTTGAAAAAGTCAGGACGTTGTGTAAAATGTAAAGAAAAAAAAGCATGCAATGATGTGTATTTTATTCACAGCAGAACATAAAACATATCACGTGCAATGTACCATTTTAAGAAAAATGTTAACTTATTTTGACTTTAATGGCAACAACACCTCTCACACAAGTTGGAAAGGGGACAACAAAAAAGCTAATTATGTTAACTGTCAACAGGTCAGGAACATGTCTGGGTATAAAAAGTTTCACGGAAGTAAAGATGGGCAGATGGTTTAACCATCTGCAAAAAATCAAAAAACAATAATTGAACAATGTCAGAATAATGTTCCTCAATGTCAAATCCTAAAGGCTTGGAATCTCTCACCACCTACGGTACATAACATCATCAGAAGAGTCTGAGAATCTAGAGAAATCTCTGAAAAAAACAGAAAAACTCTAATGTTTGTGCCCTCGGGTGTCACTATATTAAAATGTTTCTATCAGGCATGTTGCTATCATGGAAGTCACTGAATGGCCTCAGGAACACTTCAACATGGTATGGCCATGACCACAGTTTACCATCCAGAAATGAAGGTTAAAGCTCTATCATGGAAAAAAGATGCCACATGTGAACAAGATCCAGAAATATTTCTCTGGGTCAAAGGTCATGGAAATGGACAGATGCAAAACAAAACAAAACAAAAACAATCCAAACACAAAAACCCAAATTGAACTACAAAGAGTACAAAGAAGACTCAGGACTGCTGAACATTCGCCTCCCCAAATTCTAGCAGCTGGTCTTCTCAGTTTCCAGATGTTTATGGACTGTTGTTAAAATAAGGGGTTTGCTGCATGTGGGTAAACATGGCCCTGTACCACTTCTTTTGAGAAATATTGCTGCTATCAAACTCAAAATGAGCCAATATCTTTCTTAAAATGCTACATTTTCTCAATTTAAGTATTTGCAATTGCATTCTGTTTTTATCCTTTTCAGTATTGGGGTTGCAAGCTGGAAAAAAAGTTGCATGCCAGCAAAAATGTCAGTGAATTTTGTTTTATTAAAAAAATTAAATATTTTGTATGGGCCAAGTGGGAGGATTAGAGTATTGCTTTGTGGCATTCTAAAATTCTGCATGCAACAGCTTATTTAAAATGTGTGAATATATAGTATATAGCTCTGATTTCTGACTACACCTCACATATTCAAGTTTTACGAGTTCAGATTCAAAGCTTAAAAATTAGAGCTAGATTTCATGTTTTTCACCAGTGAACTGAAGACCCTGCTTCTCTGTAGCTATAAACCTGTCCTTAAAAGAATCTACCTGGGGATAGAGATTGCAATGAATGCCATGTCT